TGTCTCATTCACAAATTGTGTAAAACACTCTGAGTGATCTCTACCAACTCTGGACCCATATATTTGTTTCTAACTCTGGAAGGAACTCAGAGCATTCCCATGCTGTCATTCTCCCCCTACAGACAAAGGCAATCCCACAATGGACACAATGTTCTTTGTCACCAATTACTTGTTTAGCAAAGCCACTTCCGAAAAGAAGTCCTGCTTGCTAGGTGCTTGTGATTCATACTTATAATCCTAGCAACTCAGGAAGCTGAGACCTGAGGGATCACAATTCAAAGCCTGCATGGGTCAAAAAGTCTATGAGAAGCCAGGTGCCGGTGGCTCACGCCTGTAGTCCTAGTTACTCAGGAGGCTGACATCTGAGGATCGCGGTTCAAAGCCAGCCCAGGCAGGAAAGTCTGTGAGACTCTTATCTCCAATAAACCACTAGAAAACTGGAAGTGGCGCTGTGGCTCAAGTGGTAGAGCGTGCGCCTTGAGCTGAAGAGCTGAGGGACAGCGCCCAAGCCCAGAGTTCAAGTCCCACGACTGATTAAAAAAAAGTCTATGAGATTCTATTTTCAATTAATCAGCAAAATGCCTGACTAGAGGAGTGGTGCAAGTGGAAACATGCCAGCTATAAGGGGGGGAGAGAGGGAAGCCAAGCAACAGTGTGGGGTCCTGGGTTCAAGCCCTAGGATTGGTGTGTGTGTGTGTGTGTGTGTGTGTGTGTGTGTGTGTGTGTGTGTGTGTGTGTGTTAGTAGACTCTGGCTTGGCTTCTCAAGCACCCAAAGCATCACTGACTTACCCTTCTACCTTTTTACTCTCTCTGGTTTCTAGAGAGTGAATATGAGGCACTGGGTTACTACACAAGGCATAGAGCTATGTCAGAACCGGATGATTTGGCTTTAGATCCATTTTCCTCTCTCCTGATACCTATCATAGCAGCATAGCCTCATGCTAGGAGAGTCTAGTCAGGTGCTGGGGGGCTCACACCTGTAATTCTAGCTACTCAGGAGGCTGAGATCTGAGGATGGCAACTTGAAGCTTGTATAGCAGAAAAGTCCATGAGACTCTTACCGCCAATTAACCAGCAAAAAGCCAGAAGTGGAGCTGTGGCTTGAGTGATAGAGCACCAGCTTTGAACAATAAAGCTATAGGACAGTGCCTGTGCCTGAGTTCAAGCCCCAGGACCAGCACATGGGTGCACATGTGTGCACACACGCACACACACACATATCCACACACGCACACACACATCCACACACACATACACACAAAGCTGAGCAGAAAGGACTACCTGCAGCTCCCACTGAGGAAGGGGGTTGGTATGGTTGTTGGCTAGAGACAAGCCAGGCTCAGGCTCAGTTAGCAGGAAAGTAAATGCAAAACTTGTATTCACATACCATTGCCATTGGCTGGGGAGGAATCGCAAGGTCGGTGAGCACATGGACAGGATCAAAGCAGTAAAACACAAGTCTTGCACTATGATTAGGATAGGGTGTAATTCCAGTTCCAAATCTGCAAAGAAAAAAAAGAGTTCACTTTTAATCTAATGAGATCTCCCCCCTGCTTCCTAGGACCAGGTCTACGAAGAACCTTTGGATCCACATGGGAGATATTTGACAAGTCACCAATGTTAGAACAGGTGTTAACAATGTTTAGAAAGCAGGTGGGGCCGTTTAGATCCCATTGGTCAGTAGGGTTTATCACACTCCATTTTAGCAGCCAGCCCCTGGTACACAGGAGATGGTTCATTGCAATTTAGTGAGCAAATGAAAGAGGAAGCAGATAGATCCTCATCCTTTACCAGACTCCGGGAGTAGAATTTCCAACCTAAGGGGTAGAATGTGTGGTGGCCTTTGGCTGCTGCTTCCTCTGGGCCATCCCACCCAGGTGAGGGTCACTGGGGAGAGCCAGTGCTGTTGCTCATGGTCTCCACTAGGTGTGAAGGTGGGGTAAGATCTCCCTCAGACGGAAATCTGAGCTGCTTCTGTATGCTCCCACTGATTTCTAAATATTTCTTCTGGGGTTGGGAAGGTGGCTTAGGGGTAGAGTGCTTGCCTAGCATACATGAAGCCCTAGGTTCGATTCCTCAGTACCCCATACACAGAAAAAGACAGAAGTGGCACTGTGGCTCAAGTGGTAGAGTGCTAGCCTTGAGCAAAAAAGCTCAGGGATGGTGCCCAGGCCCTGAGTTCGAGCCCCAGGACTGGCAATAACAACAACAATAATTCTTCCACTGCAATAATGAAGAGTTTAAAATACTGCCTTGCCGGGCACCGGTGGCTCACGCCTGTAATCCTAGTTACTCAGGAGGCTAAGATCTGAGGATCCCAGTTCAAAGCCAGCCCAGGCAGGAAAGTCCATGAGACTCTTATCTCCAATAAACCACCAGAAAACCGGAAGTGGTGGTGTGGCTTAAGTGGTAGAGTGCTCGCCTTGAGCTGAAGAGTGCAGTGACAGCACCCAAGCCCAGAGTTCAAGCCCCATGACCGACAAAAAAAAAAAGAGAGAGAAATAAAATACTATCCTTAATACAATACTTAAATAATTGGCCTTTAAACTATGTTCCATGTCTTTTGGGAGAGTTTATATGGTTTTCTTCCTTATAAGTGCAGTGATCAAATCTATTGGATGATGGCAAAAGATTAACAGCTGCTGGGCTCCAGTGGCGCATACCTGTAATCCTAGCTACCCAGGAGATTGAGATCTGAGGATTGCGGTTCAAAGCCAACCCCGGCAGGAAAGTCTGTGAGACTCCTATCTACAATTAACCACCAGAAAACTGGAAGTGGCGCTGTGGTTCAAGTGGTAGAGTTCTTACCTTGAGCTGAAGAGCTCAGGGACAGCGCCAGGCCCAGAGTTCAAGACTCCCACCCCCCCCCCCAAAAAAAGGTCAACAACTGTGTGTTCTAGTGGGGTGGGGATACAGGAAGTGATTGCAAGTCTGTATGTTCTGTAGATTTGAAAAATATCCTAACAAAATGTTGGGACACATTATATCCAGTCTGCAGAGCCACCTGCAGCTTGGCTGAGCCTGGCTCTGGCAGCAAAGGCAGGTGGGTAGCTGGCCTTGATACTACCTGCTTGATGTGCTAGGTGCCCTTTCAAAGAGCTTCACACCAATGGCCACTCAGAGGCACAAGAGATGGTTAATCATTTTCACAAAGCCAGAATAATGGTGGTGAAGCCAAAGAAGGACAAGTACTGTAGTTTGGCATCAGGTTTTTCTTCTTCATCATCACTCACTCTGAAGATAGGAGTTTTCTCCTGGTACCAGGGCTTGAAAGTTGGGCTGTCACTTAGCTTGCTTGCTCACAAATGGCACTGTACTACTTAAGTCATGCCCCAGCCCTGCTTTTTGTCAGTTTATTGGAGATAGACTATTACAGATTTTTTTTCTGCCTTAGGCTGGCCTTGAACGGCCATCCTCTAGATCTCAGTCTCCTGAGATTACAGGCTAATGAGTTACTGGCACCTAACTCTCATCTCTGTTCTAACAAGTCATCTTGCCCTCATGACAGTACAGTGTGTTCCATTCCAGCTGTTCTGTTCCAGCATGGATGAGGTTATATCAGGGCAGACAAGGAACTCTAGATCAGCCCAAAAGATACTACTTGCTCCTCTTCCTCCATCTACAGCAGTCAGGGTCTACAGCCAAACCTAGTTGGAAATCTTAGAATTTCTTACTTAGAATCCATTCTAATGTTTTACACACACACACACACACACACACACACACACACATACACACACACACAATTTTGAAACCTGTTCTGAAACGATCCGGTAACAATCAGAAAGATACAGATTTGCACATGGTGTAATTTATTGGGAGATCCTATTTCCAATTAACCAGCAAAAAGCCAGAAGTGGAGCCATGGCTTAAGTGATAGAATGCCAGCCTTGAGTGAAAAAGCTAGGGGACAGTACACAGGGCTTGAGTTCAAGCCCCGATACACATACACACACACACATACACACACACACACACATACACACAAAACCACACACACAAAAATAAAAAACCTTAATGATTAGCACCATGACAAGCACCCAAATTCTTCAAGCATTTGTTTTAATCACTGCTGAACCTTACTTTAATATTCTTAGCTTTCTTTAAGTGTGGTTTCTAGAATGAAATTAACACAGTCCTAGAAGTTTAACCAGGCTATCTTAGAAGAGGAAAACCTAATTTTTTTTTTCTTTTTTTGCCAGTCCTGGGGCTTGAACAAGGCTTAGACCCTGTCCTTGAGCCTGTTTATGCTCAAGGTAGTGCTCTACTATTTGAGCCACAGCACTACTCCCAGCTTTTTCTGAGTAGTTTATTGGAGATAAGAGTCTTTCCTGCATGGGCTGGCTTCAAACCACAATCCTCAGATCTCAGCCTCCTGAGTAGCTAGGATTAGTAGCCACTGGTCCCTGGCAGCTCTTTTTTTTAAGTATGTATGTATGTATGTGTGTATGTATGTATTTCTGGTGCTAGGGCTTGAACTCAGGGACTGGGCACTGTCCCTGAGCTGCTTTTGCTCAAGGTTAGCACTCTACCACTTGAGCCACAGTGCCACTTCCAGCTTTTTCTGTTTATGTGGTACTGAGGAATTGAACCCATGGCTTCATGCATGCTAAGTAGGCACTCTACCACTAAGCCACATTCCCAGCCCCAGTTCTCCTCTTTTAAAAATCACAAGGTTCCTAGTCCTGATAGAATTAAAAGTTTAACACAGAGAGTCATTATGTCATCAAGCATCAAGTGGTCTGAGATCAAAGAAATTTATTATTCATTTATTTTCTTCATTTAATTGAAAAACAAGAAAAAGGCTCAAGTGGTAACTGTGATCTGAGGATGGGGGTTCAAAGCCAGCCCAGGCAGGAAAGTCCATGAGACTCTTATCTCCAATAAACCACCAGAAAACAGGAAGTGGGGCTGTGGCTCAAGCAGTAGAGCGCTTGCCTTGAGCTGAAGAGCACAGGGACAGCACCCAAGCCTAGACTTCAAGCCCCACGACCAACAAAAAGAAAAAGAAAAAAGAAAGAAAAGAAAAGAAAAAAAAAAGAAAAGTGTGTTTAAGCAGTCATTTTTTGTGGCAGTTTTTTGACAGGAGTAGCATGATTTCAGTAGGAGTTTTTTTATTTTTTTTTTACTTTTTATTGTGAAAATACTGTACAGAGGGGTTACAATTACATGGGCAAGATAATGAGTACATTTCTTATCAAGCATTGTAGCCTCCTCCTTTGTTTCCTTCAGTAGGAGTTTTGCTTAGTGAGTATGTGGGGAAAAGTCCAAAAGGTATCATAAGACAGGTCAAAGGGGAGATGTTTTTCCTGAGAGCTTCTGTTGAACTCATTTCTGAAGCCTTCCAGGTCCTCTTCACCAAGTTTTAAACATTCACTCCTGACCACTAGGTGGCAGAAGAACTCTGAATTAGTTAAAGAAAAAAAAAATGCTGCTTAGTCTAGGTGGATTTGCTATGAACCTTTAATTGAGACTTTAAAAAAAAATCACTCACTTATTTTCATCATTGAACTCTAATACAGTGCCCTTTCCCATTTATTTCTCTGCTCTTTGCTGTGGGTATGTGCAGGTTAAAAAATATATGCCTCATTTTTTAGCCCCCTGCCCACTTGTGGTGAGCTCTTTTTTTCTGCTGTAGATTTAGCAGCTTTTCTTCTTGCCACAGCAGCCCCCAGCAACATCAGGTGCACAGCTTGGCTTTCTGTTATCAGATTCTGCTGCGAGCTTGAATGGATCTGTGATAAGAACCTGTCAAAAGGCAAACCCAAATGAAAAGACACATCAGACGAGTTTCAAGGGACCCAAAGACTAATATTTGATTTAGGTTGCTTTCCCAAGAAGAGACATTAAAATTATATAGTTCTATAAGGTCTTGGGAATCGCATCAGTCACTCTGCTATAAATACAGCTTATCTTCCAGAAGCTTCTAATCAGATTATTACTACAGTCAAGGTAAATTTCATTTAAGCTTCTTTTTTTTGGGGGGTCCGGTCCTGGGGCCTGAACTCTGGGCCTGGGTGCTGTCCCTCAGCTCTTCAGCTCAAGACTAGCACTCTACCACTTGAGCCACACCACCACTTCCGGCTTTTTTCTTTTTTGCTTATGTGGTGCTGAGGAATCGAACCCAGGGCCTCAGGCATGCAAGGCAAGCGCTCTACCACTGAGCCACCTTCCCAGCCCTCATTTAAGCTTCTTAAAGGTGGTCTCTCCCTGGCCAAGAGAGCTGATTCTGCTCAGTTGTTTCATTTTGTGAAATTTCCATTTGTATGTGTCTTGGACCTTTGGGTTAAATGGTAAAACTTCTATTCCCAGAAATACATGTATAAAGAAGTTATGTCCAGATAGCATCTTTAGCAATTATGTGCAGATATAAAGACTGTCAATAGACAGTCTGAGTGAAATTTCCCAGACACAAAAGGGCAGTCTTTATTATTAGTCCTCCTCTTTTTGTTTGTGTGTGCTGATAATGAGGCTTGAACTCAGGATGTGGGTGCTGTCCTTTGGTTTTACTGCTCAAGGCTAGCAATCTACCACTTGAGCCACAGCTCCATTTCTGGCTTTTTGCTGGTTAGAGAGGAGTATCATGGACTTTCCTGCCTGAGCTGACTTTGAACCACGATCCTCAGATCTGTCTCCTGAGTAGCTAGTATTATAGGTATGTCTCCAAATAAGATTCCTCCAATGCAAACATTGGCAGGGGGGGGGGGGGGGTGGGCGGGAACAGGCTTAAAGACAGAAAACTAAGAGCATAAACAAATCACCTTAAGTAATGACAATAAATATATTCAATGCAAATGTACACTCTATTTATTGATAGACACTGCAAATTGGAAGGTTACAAGACAATCATGAAACAGTTACTGAAGTAATTAACTCTCTAACCGTCAGTTGCCACCTTTCTGTAATAAAAAGGTCTGCTGGACAGGGGTGGCTCATGCCTATAATCCTGGCTACTCAAGAGGCTGAGATCTGAGGATCAAAGTTAGAAACCGACTGGGACAGACAAGTCCATGTGACTCTTCTCTCCAATTAACCACCAAAAAGCTGCAAATAGAGGAGTGTCTCAAATGGTAGAGTGTCACCCTTAAGCAGAAAATCTAAGTGAAAATGCAAGGCCCTGAGTTCAAGCCCCAATATCAGCACACAAAGAAATAAGATAATAAAATGAAAAGGTGGGCCTGATCCTGTGTATTCTCTATGCAGCCTGGCACCTGGTAGGACTCTCCAAGCCTGGAAGAGGGCCGCTGTGCTGGTTGCCACTGCTGGGCCCCTGTGTCCATTTTATTTCTTCCCTTACAGGCATTAGAGCTCCTGGGAGAAAGAGTCTCCCCTATTTTTTTCACCGAGAAAAAAAAGCATTTACCTCTCTCTTCTTCCCATTCAATGGCCTGTCTACAAATTAGGAAAGACTCTCTTCTCAGTGCATGTTCTTAGCCCTAAAACACCTCCAAAGCGTGGAGGCCATCCCTCCCAGCACCATTGCCCTGAGAATCTGTGCAAACTGTGTGTGGAAGCGGAGCAGCATTCTGATTTTAAAACATCAGCTCTAGAAGAGAATGGGAGTTCTCATTCAGCCTTTTGCAGCTGATTGACCTTGGATTAATAAATCAAATTCTCTAGGCCTTAGCTTCTTTATTTGGAAAATGAGGATAATTAAGGCTATTGTGAGGACAACATTACTATGCTGTGTCTTGAACATATTAATGTCCCATGAGTTAGCCACTCTATATTATTGATATTATGTGTTTTTTGTTTGTTTGTTTTGTTTGTCAGTTGTGGGGCTTGAACTCTAGACCTGGGCACTGTCCCTCAGCTATTCAGCTCAAGGCTAAGTGCTCTACCACTTCAGCCACAATGCCACTTCCAGTTTTCTGAGTGGTTAATTGGAGATAAGAGTCTCACGAACTTTCTTGCCCAAGATAGCTTTGAACCAAGATCCTCAGATCTCAGTCTCCTGAGTAGTTTGAATTACAGGCAGGAGCCACCACACCTGGCTAGATAGTATGTATTATTACTGTCATTGTTTTTTGTTGTTGTTGTTCATTTTTGTTTTTTTGGTCGGTCGCAGGGCCCGAACTCTGGGCCTAGGCACTGTCCCTCAGTGCTTCAGCTCAAGGAGAGCACTCTACCACTTGAGCCACAGCACCACTTCTGGCTTTTTCTGCCTATATGGTGCTGAGGAATCGAACCCAGAGCCTCATGGATGCAAGGCAAGCGCTCTACCACTGAGCCACCTTCCCAGCCCCTACTGTTGTTGTTATTATCCCAAACCAGACAGTCCATAGATAAATCCTGTGTGCATCATTTCAGATGTTGTGGTGTTGTCATAATGAAACTCTTAATAGCAAAATGCACTTCTCCTGTCAGGATTAAAAAGAAGTGAAAGAAGCCAGTCACCAGTGGCTCACACTGTAAAATTCTAGCTCCTTAGGAGGTTGAGACGTAGGGATCAAGTAGGCTCAGTGGCAAATCACTTGCCTATCATGTGCAACATCCTGGGTTCCGTCTCCAGTACCAAGAAAGAAAAGAAAAAAAAAGTAAATAAAAAAAACCAAGGGAGATGTAGGGATCGAGGTTTGAAGGCAGTCTGGGCACCAAGTCTGACTCCTATCTCCAATTAACCACCAAAAATCCAAAAGTAGAGCTGTGACTTAAGTGGTAGAATGCTAGCTAAAGCCCCCAGTCCCTGAGTTAAAGACCCAGGATGGACACAAAAGAAGAAGGAACAGGGTGAGAGGAAAAGGAAGAGAGGATGAGGAAGAAGAGGAGAAGGAAGAGGAAAGAGTAAATTCACAGTAAGAAGCAGTACCAGCCGGGCGCTAGTGGCTCACGCCTATAATCCTAGCTACTCAGGAGGCTGAGATCTGAGGATCTTGGTTCAAACTCAGCCAGGGCAGGAAAGTCCATGAGACTCTTATCTCCAATAAACCACCAGAAAACCAGAAGTGGCGCTGTGGCTCAAGCGGTAGAGTGCTCGCCTTGAGCTGAAGAGCGCAGGGACAGCACCCAGGCCCAGAGTTCAAGCCCCACGACCCACCCCCCCAAAAAAGAAGCAATACCATCCTACCATCCATTCCTGCACTGCAGCAGTGATAGAAGACAAATGTGTGTGGTTCCTGGACTATCAGTGCGCTAGGGTTTATCATAAAAGCTTTCCATAAAAGAGATAAGCAAGGCCCTCCTCCCAGAGCACAAGGTTAGATTTCTAGGACACACAGCTGTTTCGTTCTGAAGTCCAGAAGTCTGTAGATGGGAGAAATGAAGAAATCCGAAGAAGAGTTACAACACAGACGAGATAGTATCTGCCTGCAACCCATCTCTTAGCCTGTAACCTTACTGAGAAAATGGCCTGTAACCTAGCTGAGAAAATGGCCTGTAACCTAAGAAAATGGGAAACTGAGATGAAAATTTGAGGCCCCTAGCTTGCTGCTTTTAGTAAAGGAAAAGTGTAAGATCGGGGCTGGGAAGGTGGCTCAGTGGTAAAGCGCTTGCCTTGCATGCCTGAGGCCCTGGGTTCGATTCCTCAGCACCACATAAGCAAAAAGAGAAAAGCCGGAAGTGGTGATGTGGTTCAGCTGGTAGAGCGCTAGCCTTGAGCTGAAGAGCTGAGGGACAGCGTCCAGGCCCAGAGTTCAGGCCCCACAACCGGACCCCCCCCCCCCCCAAAAAAAAAGGAAAAGTGTAAGAGATTCTCACAAAACCAGATTGGAAGGCAAAGAATTAGAATCCCTGGGGAGGAGAGGATGAGACTAAGAAGATCATGATAGAGGACAGGGATCCCTTTACCTATGAGCCTGGCTTTCCCATCCCACCAACTCTAATGCCAAGATGAAGGCACAGCACATGCAGGTGCAGGAGTAGGGCCACCCACTGAGGAAATTATGTCCATTTGGAACTATACTCTTGTAGAATTGCTAGATACTGCCAAAACCACTGTGTGAGTCTGCTTGCCTGGATAGTGAGATACTGGGACCAGGGGAGAGGAGAGGGGAGCAATTCTCTGGTAGAAATAAAGAAAATGGAGCCAGGCACTGGTGGCTCATGCTAGTAATCCTAGCTACTCAGGAGGCTGAGATCTGAGGATCACTGTTTAAAGCCAGAAAACCACCAGAAAACCGTAAGTGGCTCAAGTGGTTGAGTGTTTGCCTTGAGCTGAAGAGTTGAGGAACAGTGCCTAGGCCCAGAGTTCAAGCCCCATGACTGGCCAAGTGAGAGAGAGAGAAAAAGAGAGAGAGAGAGAGAGAGAGAATGGGTATTAGTACCACACATCTTAAACACCACCTCCACTATGTGTACCACATCCAAGGAGATCATATTAGTCTGACAAGAGAAAAGGACAAATAAAATTGAGAGGATAAAAGAAATTGAGAGTTGGTTAAGATAATAACAATAAAGCAGCTGTGACAAAATTTGCTTTGTGCTAGCACTCCCACTGAGAAGATAATCTACTGTAATCACGATGGCCTTCTAGAAGGATCTTAAGTAGAACAATGGAAGGTTAGGAATTTCTTTCATCTGGCATTACTGGTAAAATGGGAAGGGTTCCTCCCGCCCCTTTCAGGTAGGGGGAGAGCTCCATAGTGGCAGTTATGGGAGGATCAGAGGCCTCATTGTCCCCTCAGAACAAGGGAAAGACATCTCTCTGGTAGTTCTGGGCACCAAATGTACACCAATACAGGGCAACCCAGGTTACAGGGCAATTTCCCACTGATATGAACTGGGACCAACAAGCCACCTATGCATTATTG